ACACACACAGACTCACACACACACACACACACACACAGACTCACACACACACACAGACACTCCACGCACATACACACACACAAACACACCACACACATACACGTGCACATACATGCACGCACGCAAACCCACACACCTACCCCCTCACCGGTTAGTTAAATATTACGTTAGTGGCGTAGTGGACGCGTCACGACCCTGTCGGCATCCGACAATAAATGCGTCCACGCACAACCTGTGTGCACTGTGCATGACGCTGTGACGTCATGGGGCTCGCTGCTGTTGCATTATAATATTGGAGACACGCTCTGTTGATCCTCTCAGAGGGACTGTGTGTTTTTTGTTTTGTTTGTCTTCTTACTAACTACATGTACTCCTTACCGGCGAATCCGACGGACCATCTTTGGGTTGGCCGAGGATCAAGAATTTCTCTTCTTTTTGTTGTGAGGACGGGCGGGGGGAGGGGGCGCGCAGAGATGTCCGCCACAGCCTGTTACACCTATTTACTGTGATGATGGCGATGATTCGCCCCATTCTGGTTAGCAAGTTGTGCAGTCTTTGACGCGCCCTGTCTCAGAGGTTTTAAGGGAGATTCATATCATAAAAAAAAATATTTGTCAAGATGAGGAAGAGGTACATGGGAGTGTATGTGTACGAAAATGTGAAATGCCGACACCTAATTGACCGACGGACCTGGACGTGTGTTCTCCCCGGACACACACTCTCGGTAGTGCCCGTTTCTTTTAAAATTCCTACAGGCTCCCTTTTCTCTTTTTACTCTCCCTGTGGTTGGTTGGCGGGTGCTCTGGTGTTGTGTGCTCGTTCTTTCCTATCTAACATCTATCTTTCTTATTTCCTATTCTCTTTTTCTTTGTGGGTTACTGTCTTGTTACACCACTAATCTTCAGCACTTATGTGAACTAATTGTGTTGCAAGTGCCGTAATACTCTTACTCTACCAACTTTCCATTTCACCGTGGCACGCAACCTTCCTCAACCTCCCACTACCTTTCCGGTCGAAAAACGGTTATTATTTGTTTTATTTTTTCTTGGTAATGGTTTCCGCGCGTTCTTCGTTTGTCCCTTTTATGAGGTGTTAATGTTCCGTCACAGTGGCAGTCAATCATAGCGGTAACACTATTTGCAGAGTCAGCTGGGGATTTCTACGTCTTCAGGGTGCTTTGTCGGAAAGACTGTAATGGGTCTTTTCGGAAAAGGGACTCTGGGGGATGACATACAGACATACAGACACACAGACACACAGACACACACACACACACACACACACACACACACACACACACACACACACACACAC